GACTTAACATCTATCAACTACCTAGTGATATAACTATTAATGTTAAAGTAGTCACAAAATTACATGAAACTTTGCATAGTTCACTAGTAAAGCTCTTATCAGGTATTGACAATTTACAGTCCATTTTACTCTCTGTGGACATCTAAACATAAATCACTGTTTCATTTTCTTTGAAGACTTGAGTCAAGCTACTAAACCAGCCTTTAGCCAGCTTACTGCGGTATCATCTATTTATGTAAATCTCAAGTCTCAAGTCTCAAGCAAGATAAATCAAGGCTGTCATTAAAGGCCACAGCAAAGGAATTTCTCTTGGCTGCTATTAAGGCAACTCACAGCTAGTTTCATGAAAAGAGCATTAGATAAATGTTTCTGAGTGAGTTGTTTGCAATCTTGTATGATTTCAAGGGAATAAATCTTTGACCTTGAATAACAGAAGATAACAAGTTGGGTGTTTGCTGTACACCTTGGTCACTCTTGCAGAAAGAAACTAGTGTCAGTCTATCTGGAGAGTTTACTTTGAATCTTACAAATGCGCTATCATGTTTTGCAAGTTGCAAGTTGCCCCCTTCATTAGGTGCTATATCCTTGCTTGCTATATCCAGAGTGAATCCATGTTGTCTCTCTCGGCTCAAATTTGTTACCCTCTGTATCAACGTTCTAGAAGGAAGGACCAACAATGCAAAACAGAATGACCAGATCCTAATAGCGGATCTAATCAGCTATACATTAAAAAAACTGAACAGTAGAAAGAAGCAAGGCTGATTATACAGTCAGGAATATATCATATATTCACTATTCTAATATTTGAAAAGGCATGGCACATGAAAAACTTGAGGCCTGCTATTTTGCCACGCAAAGTAAAAACGTACACATCACATGGCTTGTTGTGTCCAGTTAGTCTACGGACACACTAGACACATGCAAACCAGTGGAGTCAACAGGACTGGGAAGCCAGTATTCACCTGTTGCTGAGCAACGTTATCCTTACTAGCAAGAACAGCAGCCTCTACAGAAAAGAAGCCTAAGAAAAAAAGCAGGAACAAAAATTACCAACAGATAATTATTACCTAAACTCTTACTGAAGTTAATCTTAAGGTAAAGCTAATGTGTATTTATTTATTTATTTATTTATCCATTCATTAATAATATTGTTATTTATCACTATAAATGTGGATGTGAAAACTGATAAAAAAGGTGCAGGTAAACCTAAAAAAACAATTGACATGTATGAAATAACAAAAAAACAATGTCAAGGAAGAGCCCTGAAATGGCTGTTTTGGCTACTTCACCGACAAGGCCTTGTAGAAAGAAAAATTGGATGTGCTGGAAAGGGTTGTATTCAAATTAACAGAGCTTTTGTAGCAGTCCCAGAATTCTTGCCATTCCTCAATCGTACCATTAAAACGCTTCACTTCTAACTTTTGCAGCTTCACAGCTCCTTGTTTTGATTAGCTGAACTTTTGCTAGAGCTGGCAGTCTGTGGTTGTCCTTGCTGAGGACTCAGAGGTTTGGGCTTCAACAGTTCTGTCAGCGATGGAGTTGTAGCATTCATGTCTCCCTTTAAATCTCCAGTGGTTTTGACTTCATTTCGTCATTGATGATGTCAACTTCGATGAGATTGCTCAAGTTTTCTTTAGTTCTCTCAGATTTGCTCCTCTAGAAATGACTTTAACTGAGCAATTTAGTGGTTGCGTGTCTGTAGTACACTGTCCTCCTACAGCAAACTCTTTTGCTTCACAGGGCTTGAAATAACTATTGGGCAGGCGCCGGACACATTGTCCGGTCAAACGTGATTTTGCTCGGACATAGGCATTTTTGGCCGGACAAATTTAATCCATCTTAACTAGTTGCAATAGAGGCTCCATTTTGCAAGTTACATGATCTAAATCATTTTCAGCCACAGCAACTCTAGTTACTCAAAACAAATCGAGTGTGCAAAAAATTAGAAGTTGTAGTTTTATTACTCTTTGTTCTGTTACATTGTAAGTCAGACACGTGAATTGCAAGACACAACCTCATCGTTAACGTTTGGTTGAAACCTGACCAAATCACTAACAAAACGTAACCTTCAACTTTATAGTACAACATTTACATTTTAGCAAATGCTGCTTTGTTTCTACAAATAATTTCAAACGGGCAAATAAACTTGTGAAATAGTTTGGTTCAATAAATCAATCTCTCAATTAACACAATAATAAATGCTATTAAACGGAATGTATACAACTATGTAATATAATCCTGACTTACAAGTTTACTCTACCGTTCGGTTGAATGCAAATCTAGACTTCAGAGTGATTTGTTGAATGCGTAGCGTCTATGTGTGTAAAATTGCATTCGAACACTGGAAATCCGACATATTCATTCTGTTTAAAGCCTTCGTGCCTAGTTCACTTTGCAAACAACAAAAGCTTAGTAACCAAGCTCGTGTGCAGGCCAGGGTGTGCCGGAAGTGACGTACTGATTTGTTCTTTTTAATTTTTCAGCATCGTCGATCGTGACG